TTTTTCACCTCGGCCTTTCTTTAAGATCTTCTGCATGAAGCCTTTCCTGTCTCCCTTCCCTCCCCTCTCCTCAACTGCTAGTGTCCTCCTTCTTAAATGATCTTTTATTTAACTACCTTGTATATATTTGCATTTATATTATGCTGCATACACATAGATATAGCTATGTATTATACGTAGTCTCTCTCATTAGAATGTTACTCTTTTTGAGTAAATATTGCGTTGTCTTTGTGCTTGTATGTCTAGCACATGGCACATACTTGATATTTAATAGATCACTTGCTAATTGATTTCTGCCTAGCCACAGAAGACAGAACTGATCAAAGGTTGCAAGGAGGCAAATTATGCCTCTTAAATTATTCCTTATAAGGAAAATCATCATAATTAGACCTATCCAAAAGTTGAATGGATTGCCTAGGGAGGTCTTAATAATATTATTAATAATAGAAAGCATCTATGTAGCATTTTAAGGCTGGAAAAGTACTTTACATATATTATCTCATTTGATTCTCACAACATCCTTTTTTACAGATGAGAAAACTTTACAGATGAGGTTTAGAGAGGTGTGACTTGCACAGAGTCATATATCCAGGAAGTATCTGCAGTAGGATTTGAATTCAGATCTTCTTCCTAACTCTAGGTCCAGTGCTTGATCTTTTGTGCTGCTTTCTGCTCTTCAAGCACAATCTGAACAACCACTTTTCAGGACTATTTTAAGAGTATTTTTGTTTGGGTGTAGGTTAAACTAAATGGCTTCTGAGATCCTTCCCAACTCTTGAAATCCTATGATTCTCCCCCTCCCCCAAATGGAAATAAAATAGAAAGTGATGTCCTTCTGTATATGTTAACTTAAATTTCTAGAAAATCATCTTGACTGCCATTTATTAAGGCAGTTAGAGTTAGAGTTGTACAAAAGTCAAATGGGCTGCCTCATGAGGATCTTCATAACCCTGTGAATGGAAGAGTGCAAGAGAGGCCATATGGACACGTGTCAGGGTCCTCACACAGGGAATTCCTAGTCGTGTGTGGATGAGACTGCATCTCCCAAATTCTGAGATCTTTGGATTCTATAATAACCTCTTCTTTACCAGAAGGCATATACTGACAAGCAATACAAAATAAGTTTGGAAAGGCAAGGTGGTGCCAGACTCTGGAAAGCCTGCAGTGCCAAGTACAGAAATTTGAACTTGATCAGCAAGGCAGTCACCGAAGAGTAGCAGAGCAGCATCTATTAACTCACATTTAATAAACAAGTTGTAGATACTGCTCTAGGTGCTGGGGATGCAAAGACAGAAGTAAAATACTCCTTGCTCTCACTGAGCTTGTGTGCTATTAGAAGAGAGAGTCAGTCTAATAAATAAACATTTATTAAGCATCTACTATTTACCAGGCACTTTTGATAATCACCAGGGATATGAAAAGAGGTAGAAGACAGTTCCTGCCCTCAAGGAGCTCACAGTCTAATGGGGGAGAAGATAAGCAAACCAGTATGTACAAACAAGCTATGTATAGGATAGATAAGAAGTAATTCAGAGGGAAGTCAATAGAATTGGAGGGGGGATAGAAGTTGGGATTTTAGTTGGGACTTAAAGAAAGCCAGGGGAAGCAGTAGGTGTAGATGAAGATTAGAGAGTGAGAGCATTACAGGCATGAGGGACAGCATGGAAAAAAGGTGGGAGCTGAGAATGGAGTGTCTTGTTTGTGGAACAGCCAGTGTCACTGGATCAGAGAGTATGTGTTAGGGAGTAAGGTGTAAGAGGATGGAAAGTAGAAGGGATCTATGTTTCGAAGGGCTTTGAATGCCAAACAGTATGTTGTATTTGATTCAGGAGGCAATAGGGAGCCACTTGAGTTTATTGAGTAGAAGGGGTGATATGATCGGGCCTTTACTTTAGGAAAATCACATTAGTAGCTGAATGGAGGATGGATTGGAATGAGGAGAGACTCATGTCAGACAGACCTACCAGAAGGGTATTACTCCAGGTGTGAGGTGATGCGGGCCTACACCAGGGGAGTAGTAGCGTCAGAGGAGAGAAGGGAGAACCGGAGAGAATAGAATGTACATAAGAATACACAAAATAGATACAGTGGGATTTGCAGGGGAGGCACTAATAGCTGGAGGCTTCAGGAAAGACTTTATATAGAGAAGCTGGCTCAACTGAGTCTTGAAGGAAACTAGAAGTTCTAAGAGCTACTGATGAGGAGAGAAAGCATCTGGACATGAGGAAAATCAGGGCAATGTCATAGAGGTGGAAAATGAAGTGCCATATTAGAAGAATGTTACCATATGGAATTGGGGGTGGGGAAATAGTAATGAGTTCTCTTTTGGACAGTATGTTGAGTTAGATGCCTGTAGGACAGCCAGTTTGATAGTACTGAAGAAAGCATGAAGGGGAGATTGGAAAATTGTACATTGGGGTCAGGTGGTGAAAAGCTTTCAGTGCCAAAAAAAGGAGTTTAACATTTACTATTTAAGGTAAGAGGAGCCACTGATGTTTATGAACAGGGCAGAGACGTAATTAGACCTACATCTTGGTAGCAGTGTGGAGGATGATTGGAATGGAGTTAGTCTTGAAGGAAGGAGACCAGTTAGAAGGCTGTTATGATAGTTCAGGTGAGAGATGATGAGAGCCTGAACCTAATGGTGGTTATGTGAGCTAATGGGAATGCATGTGGAATGGGAAGAAATATAAAGGGTGAAAGGAAAACATGTGTGGGATTAATGAATGAGGAGTTGACACCAAAGTTGCACACCAAGGTGATTGGTGGGATAGTGGTGTTGTTGACAATAAATAGCGAAGTTTGGAAGAGGACTGAGTTCTTTGGAGGGAAAGATAAGGAGTTCTGTTTTGATAAGGAGTTTGAGATGTTTACAAGACAACCAGTTCAAAATGTACACTGGGCAGTTGGTGATGTGAGACTGGATATCAGGAAAGAGACTAGGGATGGATAGATGGATATATACCCATACATATACATACATATATACATATGTGTATGTATATATATGTATGCATACACACATATAGTCATTATTTGCATAGAGATGATTAAACCCATGGGAGCTGATGAAGTCACTGAGACAGTATGTAGTAGCCATGACCAGGTCTGTACTTTAGGAAGGTTAGTCTGGCAGCTTGTGAAGGTTGGATTAGAATGGAGACAGGAAAACCCTTTATTAGGAGGTCATTGCAATAGTCAAATATATGATAATGAGGGCCTCTACTATGGTGGTGACAGTGGATTTAGAGAGGAAAAGATATGAGTTTTGTCAATAACCAGAAACCACCAGTGGTGCTGGATGGAATACCTGATTGATTGACACTTTACTGAGTAGAGCTGGGCTTCCTTTGATGCGATGGCTCTGGGAAACTTATTAGGGTTTCAGGGAATGCTAGATAAATGGACAATTATTGCACACATTTTTATTGTTCTAATTTATGAAGCTGTGGTCTTTTTTTTCCCCAATGGCTTCTGCAGCTGGAGATTTCTCTGTGTGCCTGATGAGGTGCTTGGCTAGTTTCAAAAGCAGTAAGCAGCCTGGGAAAGCTCTCAACTTCTAAAGGTGTTGAAATTTAATTGCTTTGAGAAGGAGGTAGGATTTAGCCAATTCTTTCACTGGTTGTCCCTTTAAAAGCAGTTACAAATCCTTTTGTTTCCAAGACACGGATGTGGGAAGTACCTGGCTGTTTGTAGTGCATTCCATATCCAGTGGAGGATTCATAGGAGGCTAGAATTCAAAGAGTCCTTAGAATGCTAGACCATAGATTGCAGAGCTGGGAGTTATCTTAAGACATGGACTATTGGACCACAGAGTGTCAGACCTGAAGGGATCATCTGGTACCCAGATCATAGCTTCAGAGTTACACAGGTAATATGTATCAGATCTGAGAGGTGAACTCAGGTCTTTTGATTCCAAATCTGGTACTGTTTACACTGACTTTTATTAAAGAGGCATTTGCTAGAATGATAATATCACTTATCCTTTTCTGAGTACCTAGTAAGAATTTTCATTATTATGATTTAGTTTTTAGTTCATTGTGCCTTTATGAAAGGATTGTGGAACTTGACGAAATAGTTTGCCTTGGTCCTTAGAGACACCTCTGATGCCCTTAGTGTTCTGCCCAGCTATTCTGTGCCAGCATGGGACAGTGGAGAGTGGGCTGGACTTGGAATCAAGAAGACATGGATTTGAATCCTTCCTCACACTTGGTCACAGTGTGCCACCCGGGCAATTCACTTAATTTCTGTGGGCCTTTGTTTCCTCACTTGTTAAATAACAGGGTTGGAATAAATGCCTTTTCAGGTCCTTTCCCTTGCTAAATCTGTGGTCTTGTGATCTTCATTGAAAAGGACCCTCTACAAAAAATTTTAGTTGTTCTTTGTCAAAGATGTTGGTGCCAGCATGGCCTAGTGATAGTAGCTCTAGACTTCAGGAGGCCTGGGTTCAAGTCCTGCTATTGGTACTGTGGGGAGAGTGGGCAGATCACTTTCTCTCTGCTTCAGTTTTCTCATCTGTCAAGTGAGGAGGTTGGATTGAATGATTTCCAGCTCTGACATTCTTTTCTCAACTGAGTTACAGAGAAACAGAGGGTGTGTGAGAGAGGAATGCAGGAGTGTTGTAGACATGGACTTTTTTTGAGATGAATAAGGAACTGCCAGTGGTTGGTTCTGACATTAGCCAGTTTAAGTGTAGGGTTGTGGTTTGCTTTTGGGGGCAGAGATTAGACTTATCTCTTTTGGGTAGAAACAAGTCTCCATTAATTGTTATCTTAGTTCTTAGAGCAAAATCCCAAGACATCAGGCCAGTACTTCTTAGCTATGGATATAAAGGCAGAACTCCTTTAGTCAGACCAGAAGTGGGAAGGGTGGGCTCTGCCAAACCTAGCTCAGAACGTTTGTCCTCAGGCTTATGAACCCAGTCTTTGGGTTCTCATGTGGCTCATGTTAAAAGTCAGGTAAGGATCCTATGTGAATGTCCTTTCTGCTCCGTGTTTCAGGACCAGTCCATCATGCCTGAAGTGAAAGATCTCTCAGAAGCCCTGCCTGAAGTGCCAATGGATCCCATTACAGGAGTTGGAGTGGTTGCTTCTCGGAACCGGGCACCCACAGGCTATGATGTAGTAAGTAAAGGCTGTCATTTGTACATTCCACAGGTATTTCTTGCACATATCTTTCTCTTTCACATTACCTCCTCCTTGGAGATTCCCCTTATCCTTTCATCTGAAAATGATAATCCATGTTTCCTTAGTTTTTTCCTAGATTTATGCTTTGTCACTATCATGCTTGTGTACATGTCACATTCTCCCCTCCCTTCACTAGATCTTGGCATGATCAGATTGGTATATAGGAGAGATTAGACTGACAGTGGTATGTGTGTGTGTGTGTATATATATATATATATATATATGTATGTATGTGTGAGTGTATATCATATACATGTATGAATGTATGTATGTGTGTGCGTATAAATAAGGGACAGATTGGAGCTGGGGGAAAATAGAAGTGGTAAGAAACTAGGGTGGCCATTGCCAGGGGTGTTCTGGTTAATGTATAACAGCCGGCTATCTGGGAAAGAAAAAAGGATTCATGACACACTTTTAACAAAATCATAAATAAAACCTTGATATATAGTATTTCCTGATTTCTGAAATATAAATGTTCATACTGTAAATTTAACAATCAGCTCTCACTAGCTGAGCTGGCTCCAGCACCCCCCTGGCTGTTGCCCAGTCATGGGATTACTGAACACCTGTACTAGCATGATGACAGTGGGAGGAGAGGGGAGGGGAGCAGATGTGAGAGGTTTTAAAATATAACCACTAATCATCATGTCAGTAGTGGGGGAATTTGCCCCCAGCTTTCCTTTTTATAGTGTGTTAGTTAGAATTGGTTATGCTGTTAGATTATTAAGTAAAATTTGACAATGCTTTAGATAAGTACTGGCTAATTTTAAGAGGGATTTCATTTTTAGTAAAAGCTAACAGCATTCAGAGCATCTGAGGTCATCTTATTTTTGCATCTTTTTCCTCTTTATTATTAATTATATTCTAGTGTGCTGCAGATGTGCCGCAGAAATACACATAAAGACCCACCAGTAAAGATGTACCAGTAAAGACCAGCCAATCTGGGTAGAAAAGACTGTTTCTGGGTAAAGAATTTAGGTACTATCCCAGTCCCACTGTAGTATACATTTTTTGATAAGAAGATAAAATATTTAGGTGGAAGTGTCAGTCAGTGCTGCCTATTGTTAGAGGAAAGAGAGAAAATGGCTAAATGTTTCATGTCCATTTTTTTCTTCAGCTGGTTGAAAGCCAGTGATAATTTCAAAGGAAATTCACTCCAAGTAATATTAAATGCTAACTATGTGCTAGGCAGGTACTATGCTGCGCACTGGGGATACAAAAAAAAAATAATACTAGCATTGCATAGGTTTACAAAGTGCTTTACAAATATCATCTCATTTGATCCTTGCAACATCCCTGAGAGGTAGGTGCTATCATCTGTGCTTTACAAATAAGAAAACAGATGGAGATTAAGTGTCTTGCCCAGGATCACTGGGCCAGTCACAAGCCCAGTAAGTGTCTGAGGCTGGATTTGAACTTGGTCTTCCTAATTCCAGGTCTAGTACATTGTCCACTTTGACACCAATCTACTGCTTAAGGGGAAGTAAGACACAGTATTTTTTCTTCTTACAGTTTAATGAGGGGAAGTGTAGGAAAGGGGAAGGGATATGAAATACAACCACATACATATTATTTGAGGGAGAATATAATCGGCTAATGGAGAAACCCAGACTAAATGACCCCCCAAAAAAACTTTAGGAAGGATAGATGACTTTCACCTCAATGGAGGAGATGAAGCTCTTAGAGGAGTTGGCACCCAAGTAGGGCATTGAAGAGAAGTAATACATAAAAGGACAGGCCTTGGGGGAAGCTATTTACAGAGAGCTTTGAATCTGAACTACTTTCTGATTTCAAAGCACAGATTGAATATATGACTTATTAGTAAACTCTTGGAGGAACAATAAAAATGTTATTTATTCAAATAGATAATACTTAGGCAGTGTGGTTTAGTGGGTAGAGAGCTTGTTTTGAAGCCAAGAGGACCTGTGTTCAAGTCCTGTCTCTGATGCATACTGGCTATGTGACCTTGAGCAAGTTGTCTATCCTTTCAGTGCTCTAGACAACTCTAAAACTGAGTTGAATAGAAGGTACTTACCTGCATTGGCAGGAGGAATTTCCACACTTGGGAGTTCCTTATGCCAATGAAAGCACAGGTCTACCCTTCATATCTATCCATTTACTTGAAAGGGTCCATGTGGAGGGTGTATCCACACTGCTAAAATAATGATCTCTCTGACTCGTAGTTTCTTCATTCTGTCCCTTTGAACAAGTGGATATAAGGAAGCAAGCCATGAATCAAGTGGAAAAAGACGAGGTTATCTGTGAGACACTGGACTGACACTTCATCCTTGGGAGGGCTTCTACCTACTGCATCAAGTACCTTGGGGAATGGAACTGGATAAGGAATCTGACCTTCTGCCCATTTCTTGATATTATGCTTTGACAAGTACATAGTTTGTTTACATAATCTTTTCCCCAACAACCTGCCCCTCCTCTCAACTTCTCTATTTCTCTGGTTAGCTCCCTAAATCCCAACCATCTAGGCTTGAAATCTTGAAGTTTTCTTTGCCTCCTCTCTAACCATATCAAATAAGTTGCCAAATCTTATTGATTCTACCTTGACATTATTTCTTGTGTTTATACTCATTTTTTTTCATTCTCACTGGCATTGTGTCTGCTCTAATTCAGGCTCTCTATCATCTCTTGCCTGGACCAACGTAGCAGCCTCTTAGCTGGCCTCCTTGCCTCCAATTTCTCACCTCTTCCAGTTCATCCTTCCTGTTGTTGCCAGAATAATTATAGAGATTGCATTATTCTTCTACTTAACAACCTTCATGCTGCATGGCTTCCTGTTGTCTACTGGAAATAATTGCAAGGCCCTTAGCTTGGCATTTCATATCCTCTGCAGTGGTTCCAAGTGACTTTTCTAGCCTTATTTCACATTATCCTCTCTCTCCACTCACCAATTCCAACCAAACTATACCATTCACTGCTCCTGTCTTGTGCAGACTCCTTTTGCTATGTGAATATTCTGTTCTCCATGCCTGAAATAGACTTGCCCTACATCTACATCTATTAAATTCCTTCCCTTTCTTAAAAACCCAGCTCGAGAACCATGTTCCTGATAATTGATTCTTCTCTACCTAACTTCTTTCCAAGCTGTCTTATGCACTTGTCACATACTAATGTGTTTTACAGTTATTTGTGTACCTATCTTATCTCCCTACTAGATTGTAAGCTCTTTGAGGACAAGGACCTTGCCATTTTTCATATTTGTACTCCCAGCATGGAAAATATCAGGCCTTGCAGATGAGCATGCAATAAATATTTGTTAAATTGAACTTTTGGAATCTTGGTTGCTTTTTCTATGTTATCTTAATTGGCTGGTTTAGGATTTGTAGGTAATAAACTAACTTTTTGTTTTCATCCTCAGGAGGTATTGGTAAATCTGAGGAACAGAATTTAACCTTGCTTAACCTTTCTCTGAATTCTCAGTTCAGTGACAGTGAGCTTATATTAATGAAGACTGATATTTGCAAAGAACTTTATATATGTTATTTCATTTATGTCTCACAACAACCCCCCCATAGGTAATACAATTATCATCCCCATTTTACAGATTAGAAAACTGAGGCTCAGAGAGACTAAGTGACTTGCCCTAGTTCACGTGGAGACCAACACAGCAAACATTTATACAAGGAAATGACAAAAAATTCTCACTCTCACTATGATGTAAGAAGATGGGTTTGGGGCATGTTTTTTTGCTGTCCAAAATATAGTACCAAATCCAAGATGTTTTGCTATTGATAGACATGCATAATAAAGGCTAGAAGATGAGCCAAATGGGTGGAGAAAAATAAAAAATAACCATATCTCTTAGACTTACCATTTGCACTGCCTCAAATTCTTTTTCATGATGATCCAGAAAGGATCTTAGGAATTTCTTACCCCTAGTTAGATAGTTATTTGGGACTATTGGGATCTTATCCCTAAATACAAGATTAAAGAGAAAAGACAATCTTAGCCTTAGAGAAACTCTTCTTGACTTTTGTTAGCTGAGTATGGACTGGTATAATTAAAGAGTGGTGAGCTTGCCCTTACTGGGGAGAAGCCTCTAGTTCCTGTGCCTCAGGAGAATGGAGCTGAGATGGCTAAGAAATGAAGCCCAGCATGCAGCTGGGAGCATAGTCCAGCAAAGACTGTGAGATCAATGGAGACGTAGCCAGCAGAGATCCAAGAGACAGATAGCAGCAGGTATACCAGTGACACATTTGCCTGATCAAGGCCCGTCCCAAGAAGGGAAGTGCAGTGGTTATCACCAGAAGATATTGGGTGGTCCTGCAACATAGGCAGCATCAATTGCTCTTCTATATATGTGTCTTGGCCACAGGTATTTCCTATCTGTGTCTTTATTTTGAACTAATTTGTGTCCTTTGAAGGGAAAAGAACATTTGTTAGGGATAGCGAGTTGGAGATAGTTGGTGACTGAGTGGATTTAGTCCCATATTCTACTTTGAACCTGGGGTAGTTTTCTGGGGGGAATGGTGTCACAAATGGGAAAGGAGGATGGCCTAGGTGCTCTTTTAGTATGTTGCAAATGTATTTACTACATAGCTAATATATGGCAGGACTACTAGGCATAACTCAAGTTTCTTGTCAATGAAAAATGTATCTTAAGCATCTGCTATTTTCTGGGGATACAATGAAAGGCAAAATACAGTCCTTGCTCTCAGAGATCCTCATATGGTGGGAGACAGCATGCAAACAATGATGTACAAACAGATGTATGCAGGATAAATTGGAGATAATCAATAGAAGGAAGGTACTATTGTTAAGGGGGGTCAGGAAAGGCTTATATCGGAAAGTGAGATTTTTAGCTGAAACTTGAAGGAAGCCAGGGAGGCCAGATAGTGGAGATGAGGGGAGGGGCAATTCTAGGCATGTAGGACAGCCAGTCAGTGAAAATGCTAGGAGTTGGGAGGTAGAGAGTTGCATTT